GTGATGTAATTTAGCATGTTTATTTTACTCGGATTGAGTAAACAAAGCCAAACACTTCAAAACTGCCAAGTATGCCCAATATTTATTTGCAATTGGCAGCCGTTCGTTGCTACTAATGATCTTGTGAAACAGAAAATTTTCTACAGAAAAACAAAGCACCAGAAAAAACTTCCTGCCCTGCATAGCCGAATTTGAGGCGTGTGCCTTGCACCATGAAAGCCGCAAACATTGAAATCTGGTTGACGCTGACCTTTTGGGGGCACTGGGAAGAGAATGGGATGAGCCAGCACTATTCCATCGTGAAAGGACCGGCATTTCTGAAAACTGATGCAGGGATCTATAGTAGTGGGAGAAAGCAACAATGAAATTTGTTTAAACTCAAGGTCCTCTGGGATGTCATTATAATTTCTTTCTGGAGTAAACATTTGCATCTTTCTTTTAGTTCAAAATGTTACTTTGCCGGAGCTCTTCAGGAGAAGAGCATGTATGATACTGTGGCAAACACATTTGTTCTCAGGAACAGTATGTTACAGGAGGTGTTAGAATGTAGGTGTTAGGTACCGGTAAATGCTAATTATAAAGGTGGCAGAGCTTCTTCGCTTTTGACAGATGGCGTATCTTTGGAAGTCTTTGGGGAGCACACGTTCTCTAACCACCTACTTTCTAGAAAGATATAATTGCTTTTAATAAAGCTCTATCTCTGTAACATGCAATGAGCAACACCAGAAGGAACACCCGCATATCTTTATTTTGTCGAGCTGCGACTTGTTAACTAGTTTGCTGTCTGCAATGGATTATTGGATTATGAAAGCATGAGCTGCAATCTTCGCAACCCCCGCCTCAAATGACCTCCACCCCAGAGGTCTGTTTTTTCTAGATCACCTGGAAACATAAATAAAAGGTAATTCATAAAAAAAGATAAATGAATTAATAAGAACTTGGCTACCTGCATTTCCCTGCTTTGTTTTGTTTTGTCTGTTTATAGAATCTTTTAAAGCAGCCCTTTACCATACAGACATACAATTCAAAACAGGTAAAATGGTTTGCACCATTATAAAAAGAAGAAAAAACCCAAGCAAAACTAGTATAGTATAGTATAGTATAGTATAGTATAGTATAGTATAGTATAGTATAGTATAGTATAGTAAAGAGTCACAGTTGGTCCCACAATAATACCTAAACTGTCAAAGGGAAAAGAGGTTTGTCCTCAGCATTTGGAAGAAGCTGAATAATGATGGGGCCAGGTGCACCGCTGTAAAGGAGTTCCACAATTTGGGGGCTGAGAGGAAAGGAAAGTGGCTCAGACGAGGGTAGGGTTTGGAGCTGGATGGCAGGAAAGAGGACTTTTAATTCTTCTCTAGCTCAAATTGGAATCTATCCAGGAGAACTTTCGGGTCTGCGGTGGCCTGCTCCCCTTGTATTTTAGTTGAGGGATGGCGGGTGGCACTTTGGTCCAAACCACTGAGCCTCTTGGGCTTGCAGATCAGAAGGTCAGGGGTTCGAATCCCCGCAATGGGGTGAGTCTCGTGGCTCTGTCCCAGCTCCTGCCAACTAGCAGTTTGAAAGCACCAGTGCAAGTAGATAAATAGGGACCGCTGCGGCAGGAAGGTAAATGGCGGTTCCGTGCGCTCTGGTTTCCTTCAGGTGTTCTGTTGCACCAGAAGCGGTTTAATCATGCTGGCCACACTCACCTGGGAAACTGTCTGCGAAAAATGCCGGCTCCCTCGGCCTGAAAGCAAAATGAGCGCCACAACCCCAGAGTCAGCTTTGACTGGACTTAACCGTCCAGGGGTCCTTTACCATTACCTTCTACCTGTTTAAGGTGAGCATTACAAGTCTTCAAAATTTGTTCCTGGATAGAACCAGAGAACATTCTGAACATTGCGAATCGTAACTAAACCCGGGTCTGAAGCTCAGAGGAACTGGGGGAAACTGAGCCATGAGAATCTGGCATGTGCTGTGAAGCCACTGAAAAGGAAATGCTCAGCCACACATCCTCACTACTTTGACCCTGTCAGTTACCATGGCAGAGCACACTGATGCTGGAAGAAGAAACAATTGAATTGCACACATGCACACACATCTGGAATGGGCCATGGGATGGCTTCTGCATCATCTACCAGATGCATATCTATTTAGGTCCAACCACTTCCGTTTTGGTGGGTTCCACGCTCATCTTGCTCTATAGGCTGAGGAAGCTGGCATTTGTCCGCAGACAGTTTTTCCGGGTCATGTGGCCAGCATGACTAAGCCGCTTCTTGCAAAACCAGACCAGCGCATGGAAACGCCGTTTACTTTCCCGCCAGAGCGGTACCTGTTTATCTACTTGCACTTTGACGTGCTTTTGAACTGCTAGGTTGGCAGAAGCTGGGACCGAACAACGGGAGCTCACCCCGTTGTGGAGGTTTGAACCGCCGACCTTCCGATCGGCAAGCCCTAGGCACTGTGGTTTAGACCACAGCACCACCCGCGTCCCATTATCTCTGAGCTAGAGAAGTACAAAATGGCCTGTGAGAAGCTACCACCAACAAATCTAAATTGACATTGTAAACTTTAAATTTGTTCCCAGATAAATAAACTACGCTTCACAAGAGTAATTTGTTTACATTTATTTATTTATTTATTTGTGCGGCTTTATAGCTCACCTCATCCAATGACTCAAGCCACGGTAACAATGCCACGTCCATTTCAATAATCATTACTCCATGTCAAGAGTTTCTGGTAATAATTTTGCTTGTCACCCATCCAACGCTCACTTAAGTACAACTCTCTTTCATGCCATGAAGATTCCTAGGAATGGTTTGGAGTTTTATTAAGTATTAAGGTTTCATCCCTGAAATTAATCAACTAGAAACATAGTCAATCAGTGGTTGTAATGTAGACAATGGTCAGTGCGCAGCTCCTTCAGTTTAATATTGGTCACTCAAGGACACTGGAACTACAACTCCAGGAAGACTTTGCCTCATGGCCAGTTCATGAGCCAAACCTCCACAGAATTCGGCTTTCTAACCACACAGAGAAAAACTAACACATGGGCCAACATGCAGAGGGCCAGGAGGCCAGCTGGCAAACCCCAGCTGTGCTGTCTCCTTCCACCGGCCCATGCTCTGATGTAAATCAGCGACCCGGGCTTCAAAGCCAGGGCACGCTATCAGCGAGAGAACCGCGCACACAGAATAGGCGTGAGGCTTGTGGAAGCATACTACAACTACAGATTTATTAATCATAAATCAGGACAAAGAAACATGTCTCTCTCTCTCATGTCATCTCAGAGAGAATGGGCAAAGCAAAAGCTATACACAACAGAAGTTCCTAGCATACTGTGCTGGAATGTAAACAGACATGTGACACACATCTGTTCCGTAAGGTGGAATGGAAATCTTAACACAATACACCCTAATGGAAGTGAACAGAGAGAAGATCCCAAATGATTTCAGAGTTGGAGAGACTTCTCCTATTAAGAGGGAAGGCATCCAAAGGGCCCTTTGGCTCTTTCTCTTTCATGCAACTCAATCCAATTTCCTGGATTGCTGGTCAACTCAACCTCATCTTCAGTTGGAATTGGTCAAACCACATCAGGCCCACATCAGTTATGTGATTGGGATATCTCTCTCAACATTGCCTGGTGAGAGTTCAGATCCTTTCCTCTCACCCATCTACTTGCCTCCCTCCTGACTAATCCCATCCCTTCTCCCGACTTGCTTACTGGCTTATAATAATAATAATAATAATTTATTATTTATACCCCGCCCATCTGGCTGGGTTTCCCCAGCCGCTCTGGGTAGCTTCCAACCGAATATTAAAAACAATACAGCGTCAGACATTAAAAACTTCCCTAAACAGGGCTGCCTTCAGTTGTCTTTTAAAAGTAAAATAGTTGTTTATTGCCTTGACATCTGCTGGGAGGGCATTCCACAGGGCAGGTGCCACTACCGAGAAGGCCCTCTGCCTGGTTCCCTGTAACCTCACTTCTCGCAGCAAGGGAACCGCCAGAAGGCCCTTAGTGCTGGACTTCAGTCTACTACAACAACAGCAGTAGAACAGAGAAAGGGATGGAGGTCTCTGTCACTGTCATGCCCTTCTCTGGCACCTGGCATACTACTACAGCTGTGAGCAGGTACCAGGACTGCTGGGATATATAGTTTCAGTGCAGCTGTAACACTTGGGGAAACTTTCTGGCATGTAGCCTTAGCAGGGCGCTAAGTGCCGACAGGAGTGGAGGAGAGAAAACCACCCCTTTCTCCATTCTGCTGAAGCAGGAGGAAAGGAAAGTGGCTCAGACGAGGGTAGGGTTTGGAGCTGGATGGCAGGAAAAGAGGACTTTAATTCTTCTCTAGCTCAAATTGGAATCTATCCAGGAGAACTTTCGGGTCTGCGGTGGCCTGCTCCCCTTGTATTTAAGTTGAGGGATGCGGGTGGCACTTTGGTCCAAACCACTGAGCCTCTTGGGCTTGCAGATCAGAAGGTCAGTGGTTCGAATCCCCGCAATGGGGTGAGCTCCTGTGGCTCTGTCCCAGCTCCTGCCAACCTAGCAGTTTGAAAGCACGCCAGTGCAAGTAGATAAATAGGGACCGCTGCGGCAGGAAGGTAAATGGCGGTTCCGTGCGCTCTGGTTTCCTTCATGGTGTTCTGTTGCACCAGAAGCGGTTTAATCATGCTGGCCACATCACCTGGAAAACTGTCTGCGGAAAAATGCCGGCTCCCTCGGCCTGAAAGCAAAATGAGCGCCACAACCCCAGAGTCAGCTTTGACTGGACTTAACAGTCCAGGGGTCCTTTACCATTACCTTTTCTACCTGTTTAAGGTGAGCATTACAAGTCTCGAAAATTTGTTCCTGGAGCGAACCAGAGAACATTCTGAACATTGCGAATCGTAACTAAACCAGGGTCTGAAGCTCAGAGGAAACTGGGGGCAACTGAGCCATGAGAATCTGGCATGTGCTGTGAAGCCACTGAAAAGGAAAATGCTCAGCCACACATCCTCACTAGCTTTGACTGCTGTCAGTTACCATGGCAGAGCACACTGATGCTGGAAGAAGAAACAATTGAATTGCACACATGCACACACATCTGGAATGGGCCATGGGGATGGCTTCTGCATCATCTACCAAACGTGCATATCTATTTAGGTCCAACCACTTTCCGTTTTTGGGTGGGTCTGGGTGGCGCTGTGGGTTAAACCACAGAGCCTAGGGCTTGCTGATCAGAAGGTTGGTGGTTCGAATCCCCACGACAGGGTGAGCTCCCGTTGCTCGGTCCCTGCTCCTGCCAACCCAGCAGTTCAAAAGCACGTCAAAGTGCAAGTAGATAAATAGGTACCACTCCGGCAGGAAGGTAAACAGCGTTTCCGTGCACTGCTCTGGTTCGCCAGAAGCAGCTTAGTCATGCTGACCACATGACCCGGAAGCTGTACGCCAGCTCCCTCGGCCAATAAAGTAAGATGAGCGTTGCAACCCCAGAGTCGGCCATGACTGGACCTAATGGTCAGGGTTCCCTTTACCTTTTATCTTGTTTTTACAATCAAGCGGCGTGTAAATTATATGAAATTAACGAACAAAACAAACAAACAAACATTTTCTTTGAGCACCAATGCGGGCTTTCTGGGAAATTCTGAGTTGGAAAGGAGGGCAATTTGCATCAGAATTTTTTCCAGTTTGCATCAGAACATTTTCTGCTGCCCTTGAGAGTGATGTAATTTAGCATGTTTATTTTACTCGGATTGAGTAAACAAAGCCAAACACTTCAAAACTGCCAAGTATGCCCAATATTTATTTGCAATTGGCAGCCGTTCGTTGCTACTAATGATCTTGTGAAACAGAAAATTTTCTACAGAAAAACAAAGCACCAGAAAAAACTTCCTGCCCTGCATAGCCGAATTTGAGGCGTGTGCCTTGCACCATGAAAGCCGCAAACATTGAAATCTGGTTGACGCTGACCTTTTGGGGGCACTGGGAAGAGAATGGGATGAGCCAGCACTATTCCATCGTGAAAGGACCGGCATTTCTGAAAACTGATGCAGGGATCTATAGTAGTGGGAGAAAGCAACAATGAAATTTGTTTAAACTCAAGGTCCTCTGGGATGTCATTATAATTTCTTTCTGGAGTAAACATTTGCATCTTTCTTTTAGTTCAAAATGTTACTTTGCCGGAGCTCTTCAGGAGAAGAGCATGTATGATACTGTGGCAAACACATTTGTTCTCAGGAACAGTATGTTACAGGAGGTGTTAGAATGTAGGTGTTAGGTACCGGTAAATGCTAATTATAAAGGTGGCAGAGCTTCTTCGCTTTTGACAGATGGCGTATCTTTGGAAGTCTTTGGGGAGCACACGTTCTCTAACCACCTACTTTCTAGAAAGATATAATGCTTTTAATAAAGCTCTATCTCTGTAACATGCAATGAGCAACACCAGAAGGAACACCCGCATATCTTTATTTTGTCGAGCTGCGACTTGTTAACTAGTTTGCTGTCTGCAATGGATTATGGATTACGAAAGCATGAGCTGCAATCTTCTCAACCCCCGCCTCAAATGACCTCCACCCCAGAGGTCTGTTTTTCTAGATCACCTGGAAACATAAAGTAAAAGGTAATTCATAAAAAAAGATAAATGAATTAATAAGAACTTGGCTACCTGCATTTCCCTGCTTTGTTTTGTTTTGTCTGTTTATAGAATCTTTTAAAGCAGCCCTTTACCATACAGACATACAATTCAAAACAGGTAAAATGGTTTGCACCATTATAAAAAGAAGAAAAAACCCAAGCAAAACTAGTATAGTATAGTATAGTATAGTATAGTATAGTATAGTATAGTATAGTATAGTATAGTATAGTAAAGAGTCACAGGTTGGTCCCACAATAATACCTAAACTGTCAAAGGGAAAAGAGGTTTGTCCTCAGCATTTGGAAGAAGCTGAATAATGATGGGGCCAGGTGCACCGCTGTAAAGGAGTTCCACAATTTGGGGGCTGCCACAGAGAAGTCCCTGGAAGCAGAAGCAGGGTGTGGCACAGACCGTGTGTGTTGCTGACCTGGCTTCCCAATGGCACATGTCACTGTCAGTTACCGAGGGGAGGGACAAGGTAGCTGGGGGCTTGGCACATTGAACAGAGCACTGCCGGACTTCATAGAATTATAAAATGGTATAATAATAATAATAATAATAATAATAATAATAATAATAATAATAATAATAATAATATATTTATACACCGCCCATCTGGCTGGGTTTCCCCAGCCACTCTGGGCGGCTTCCAGCAAATTATTAAAATACAATAATCTGTTAAACATTGAAAGCTTCCCTAAACAGGGCTGCCTTCAGATGTCTTCTAAAATTTTGGTAGTTATTTTTCTCTTTGACATCTGGTGAGAGGGCATTCCACAGGGCAGGTGCCAATACCGAGAAGGCCCTCTGCCTGGTTCCCTGTAACTTGGCTTCTCACAGCGAGGGAACTGCCAGAAGGCCATTGGCGCTGGACCTCAGTGTTGGGCAGAACGATGGGGGTAAAGATGCTCCTTCAGGTATACTGGACTGAGGCCGTTTAGGGCTTTAAAGGTCAGCACCAACACTTTGAATTGTGCTCGGAAACGTACTGGGAGCCAATGTAGGTCTTTCAAGACCAGTGTTATATGGTCTCGGCGGCCACTCCCAGTCACCAGTCTAGCTGCCACATTCTGGTTTAGTTGTAGTTTCCGGGTCACCTTCAAAGGTAGCCCCATGCAGAGCGCATTGCAGTAGTCCAAGCGGGAGATAACTAGAGCATGCACCCCTCTGGTGAGACAGTCCGTGGGCAGGTAGGGTCTCAGCCTGCGTCCCAGATGGAGCTGATAAACAGCTGCCCTGGACACAGATTTGACCTGCGCCTCCATGGACAGCTGTGAGTCCAAAATGACTCCCAGGCTGTGCACCTGGTCCTTCAGGGGCACAGTTACCCCATTCAGGACCAGGGAGTCCTCCACACGTGCACCTCTCCTGTCCCCCCAAAACAGTACTTCTGTTTTGTCAGGATTCAACCTCAATCTGTTAGCTGCCATCTATCCTCCAAACACCTCCAGACACTCACACAACCTTCATTGGTTCTGATTTGAAGGGACTACAAGTGTCATCTAGCTCCATCCCCTGCAAGACAGGAATCTTTTTGCCCAGCGTGGGGCTCGAACCGATGGCCCAGAGATTAAGAGCCTTATGCTGTACCTACTGAGCTATCCCATATGGCAATGCAGGTGGTTCCCTCACACAGGGTGCTGAGCCGAGGGGTCACCTAATGGAGAAGGTCCATAGTTGTGAAGATCCAATTGGGGATGTCAAATTTTGGCCTTCCCTTGGGCCCCATATGTCAGGGACTGGACTGAGGAGGAATGGTGGAGACCCCCCCCCCCGCACCTCCCACAGAAGAGGAAGAGAGTATAGATTTAGAACAGTGGTTTGCAGGAGGTCATGGTTCTGAGAAAGAAGAGGGGCAAAGCTGGGAGATAATGGGAGAAGAGGAGGGAGGAGGACACATTATCGTTAGAAAGCATTCCAGACCTCCCCCCCCCCATTAGTGCCATTGCCTTCTGTTAAGAGTTTGGGTGTAATTCTTGACACCTCCCTTTCCATGGAGGCACAGGTTACAGCAACAGCTAAGGCGACATTTTTCCACCTTTGCCACATCAAGCAGTTGGTCCCTTAGCTTTCCCACCCCAACCTGGCCACAGTGATCCATGCAACAGTCACCTCCAGGCTTGACTACTTTAATTCGTGGGGCTGCCCTTGCAACTGTCCCAGAAACTCCAGCAGGTGCAGAATGCTGCAGTGAGGCTCCTCATGGGGTCTCTGCTATGGGAGCATATTCACCCAGTGCTTTTCCAGCTGCACTGGCTCCCGGTGGAGTACAGGGTCAGATTTAAGGTGCTGGTTTTGACTTTTAAAGCCCTTCACGGCCTAGGACCCTCGTACCTATGCGACCACCTCTCCTGGTATGCCCCACGGAGGACCTTAAGGACCATAAATAGCAACACCCTAGAGGTCCCGGGCCCTAAGGAAGTTAGATTAGCCTCAACCAGAGCCAGGGCCTTCTCAACACTGGCTCCAGCCTGGTGGAACGCTCTGTCTCATGAGACCAGGGCCCTGCGCGATCTGATTTCTTTCTGCAGGGCCTGTAAGACAGAGTTGTTCCGCCTAGCCTTTGGCTTAGAATCAATTTGATTCCCTCCCCCTCTTTCTTTTTTCCTTTCTCCTCCTGTGAAGAGGCTGCATCTTAATGTTTTAATGTTGTATTATAATCTTGTTTTTTAAGTTGTATTTTCATCAACTTATTTTTATTATTGGTTGTTAGCCGCCCTGAGCCCGGTCTTGGCTGGGGAGGGCGGGGTATAAATAACTTTATTATTATTATTATTATTATTATTATTATTATTATTATTATTATTACCTCCCAGAACCCGGCAAGCAGTGGAAGTGGTCAAGCAGAAAGCTAAAAGGCAAATGGCTTTAAGAAGCCACTGTAAAGAGGGTGGTACTGTTGGTGACTGAGAGGGAAGGAGTAAGGGGAGAGGAGATTATCCCAAGAGTAACATTTCTATGCCTTTCTCTGTGAACGTTGAATAAAAGACATGGTAAGAGCTTCTTGTCTATCTATTACTAGCAGCCTGTTGTGAGATGGAGGGATCAGATTCCCTGAAGCCTGACACCATATTACAAAAGTTTATCAAACCCCGCCCCTGGGCAGATCTCCCCATTACAGTGGTGCCTCGCAAGATAAAATTAATCCGTTCCACGAGTCTCTTCGTCTTGCGGTTTTTTCGTCTTGCGAAGCACGGCTATTAGCGGCTTAGCGGCTTTAAGAAAAAGGAAACAAACTCGCAAGAACTCGCAAGACGTTTCGTCTTGCGAAGCAAGTCCATAGGGAAATTCGTCTTGCGGAACGACTCAAAAAATGGAAAACCCTTTCGTCTAGCGAGTTTTTCGTCTTGTGAGGCATTCGTCTCGCGGGGCACCACTGTACCTTGCCCTTGTCCCTTTCACTAGCCCCCAGTGCCATGTGCCACTGGGAAGCCAGATCAAGTGAATAGACTCAATGTTTAGGAAATGCATCATATGAGAGGAGTGTCTCTAGGTTCTGTGTATGGGTGGGGTGGAGTAAGCTAACTGCGCATGTTGTTGAATTTGTGTGCTCGGGAGTGTGCGGCAGAGGGAGCATTTATGTCTGAGCATATGTTTTTGAGTTCACATGGGCTAGTTGTGATGGCGATTTCCCCCGTGCAATTGTGCGCAGGATACAGTTCTGCTGTGATTTGACCAGCTGGAAAGAAACCGCCAGCCAGAATTAGAGAAAGCCTTAACGGGATCAGTCTTCTACATCAGCAGTAACATCTAGACCATGGGAGCATTTCAGCCCTGTTCTTGAGTTTGTTTAAAATCTCAAACAGCTTATCTTAGTATTCCTTTTTTTGAATTTGTGCTATGTAGGTTTTTAAAAACCTATTTGTAAGGGCAATACTAGAGTTTTCACAGCCGAGTCCTCAGCTCCTTATCACTACTGCTTGGCTTCCTTTAAATATGGCTGTGTCTTAAACTTGCTATTGAGGTTTTCAACCTTTTTTCGTAAACTCAGGGGAGCGTTTCAGCCCTGTTCTCGAGTTTGTTTAAAATCATTTAAGGTTTATGATTTCTCTATTTCCTTCTGAGGAAACTGAATGGTTCAGTGAAACGAGGTTTGTAGCCGGCATCCCATTAAGGCTTTGTTCAATTCTAGGTTGTTCTAATTTTTCCCCTTAAACTTTGTGATTTTTGTTATTTAGTTTAATTCTATAAGATAATATTTCTAGTTGATTACTTCTCGTTTCAGGGATTTTCACAGTATTTCATTTGTTTTGTGTAGTTTTCGGTTTCCGTGACTGTCTTTTTTCTACTAGAATTAGAGAAAGGGCTGCCAGCTGTCTATGTGTACAGCCAGGTTCATCTGACTGTTCCCTCATGTGACCGTTGAACAATGGGTTGCTTACATGTAGGAACATCTGACTGTGCGCCTTAACCCTGTTTTTACTCACATCCCGTTGGACAGATCTACACATCAGAGTGCAGAAGCCTCTTCGCCTCCTTGTTACTTGCTTGTGTTAGCATGAAAGATTGCTCCATATTTTAGTGTGAATATTTCACATTTACACCCACATACAATTCTGGCTAATTATACATATCACATTTAGCTTAATACTAGGAAAATGTAGATGTCATCATTAAGCTAACAAATATTCTTCCTGCCACCCTACAGTTCAGACGTCGAAAGCTTCCCTACACAATTAATTGCACTGCCTTCACTGAATTTTGAAATGTACAAGTGAATAGCTCACAACATGCACCCAAACACCATACATGAACCTACCGCATGTAATTTTGCACGGTCATTTGGGCCATTCCTGAGGGAGGTGAAAGAGCTGCAAAGAAATAGAATTCATTGATATTTAATTTTTCCTTAAGTCCATCAGGCAGAATTTTTAAAATCAAGATTTGAACTTCACTGCATGACCAGGTATATTTTTTTGCAAAGGAGATAAAGGGATGGCAAAAGTTATTCATCCATAGAAACAAAGAAACTGATATATGGAAAATGTATTTTTCGGCTGTAAATATATTTGTGTGTTGGTGGTATGTATTGCCACAAATAAAATGGGTAACAACAGTATTGTAATATGAAGAATAGCTAATGCTATTCTAGGCTGCATCAACCAATGTATAGTGTCCAAGAGAGCCAGTGTGGTGTAGTGGTTAAGAGCAGTAGACTCGTAATCTGGTGAACCCGGTTCACTTCCTCGCTCCTCCACATGCAGCTGCTGGGTGACCTTGGGCTAGTTACGCTTCTCTGAAGTCTCTCAGCCTCACTCACCTCACAGAGTGTTTCTTGTGGGGGAGGAAGGGAAAGGAGAATGTTAGCTGCTTTGAGACTCCTTTGGGTAGTGATAAAGCGGGATATCAAATCCAAACTCTTCTTCTTCTTCCAAGTCAATGGAAGTAATAGTACCACTCTGTTCTGCATTGGTCAGACCCCACCTGGAGTATTGTGTCCAGTTCTGGGCACCACAATTTAAGATGGATATCGACAAGCGGGAACATATGCAGGGGAGGGCAACCAAGCCTGATGAGGAACTGTTGAGGGAGTTGGGTATGTTCAACGTGGAAAAGAAGGAACTGAGAGGAGATATGATGGCCAGCTTCAACTATCTTAAGGGCCGTCACATGGAAGATGGAGCAAGCTTGTTTTCTCCTACACTGGAGGGTAGGATTTGAACCAATGGAGTCAAGTTACAAGAAAGGAGATTGCAGCTAAACATCAGGAAGACAGTAAAAGCTGTTTGACAGTGGAACAGTCTCCCTCTGGAGGTTGTGGACTCTCCCTCCTTGGAGGTTTTTAAGCAGAGATAGGAAGGCCATCTGTCATGTGTGATGTAGCTGAGATTCCTGCATTGCAGCGGGTTGGTCTAGGACAGTGATGGCTAATCTCGGCCCTCCAGCTGTTTTGGGACTACAGTGCCCATCATCCCTGACCACTGGTCCTGTTAGCTAGGGATGATGAGAGTTGCAGTCCAAAAACAGCTGGAGGGCCAAGTTTGGCCATCACTGGTCTAGAATGATTCTCAGGGTCACTTCCAGCTATACAATACAATGATTCTATGATTCTAAGAAGATTTTCATCCAATATTTTTGGGAAGGTCCATACATTCAAAGCACATTGAAAGCACATGGCTTCCCCCAAAGAATTCTGGGAACTGTAGTTGCCCCCTCGCACAGCAACAATTCTTAGCACTCTTAACAAACTACAGTTCCCAGAATTCTTTGGGATAGGGCCAGCCCAATGTATTTTGCTTCCGGAAGCACAGGAGCAAAAGATGTCCAATCCTCCAAGTCAAGTGAATAGTACCCATGGCTAGCTAAATTATTTTGGTGCCAGAGGCAGAAATTCCCACAGACACCTCTTCCCCTCCATGGCAGTGAAAATGCAAGCACAATAATTGAAATAACAAAGTGCTGACCTTTCATGGCACCTAAAAGCAGGTTGCTCAAGGTGGCTGCTTCACTCTGCCTAATGGCAGGGTCAGCCAATTACTGTATTTTTTGCTCTGTAAGACTCACTTTTTCCCTCCTAAAAAGTAAGGGGAAATGTATGTGTGTGTTATGGAGTGAATGCAGGCTGCGCAGCTATCCCAGAAGCCAGAACAGCAAGAGGGATCACTGCTTTTGCTGCACAGCGATCCCTCTTGTTGTTCTGGCTTCTGAGATTCAGAATATTTTTTTTCTTGTTTTCCTCCTCCAAAAACTAGGTGCGTCTTATGGTCTGGTGCGTCTTATAGAGAGAAAAATACAGCATATAAAGGGTTGGGCATTTAAAAAAGTAAGTCTGGCCATTGAAACACATTCTACTAGGTGTGCAGCAGATGACTGATATATTTTCGGGAATAGCACCAGCCATTGTTTCCTGCTTGGCAGGGGGTTGGACTCGATGGCCCTTGTGGTCTCTTCCAACTCTATGATTCTATGATCAGTCCACCAAGATCCCATCCTGCATTGGCCCTTGCAACCTCCAGATTAGATCCAGCCTAGTTGAAATAGTATAGGGACGCGGATGGCGCTGTGGGTAAAAGCCTCAGCGCCTAGGGCTTGCCGATCGAAAGGTCGGCGGTTCGAATCCCCGTGGCGGGGTGCGCTCCCGTTGCTCGGTCCCAGCGCCTGCCAACCTAGCATTTCGAAAGCACCCCCGGGTGCAAGTAGATAAATAGGGACCGCTTACTAGTGGGAAGGTAAACGGCGTTTCCGTGTGCAGCTCTGGCTCGCCAGAGCAGCTTCGTCACGCTGGCCACGTGACCCAGAAGTGTCTCCAGACAGCGCAGGCCCCCGGCCTCTTGAGTGAGATGGGCGCACAACCCTAGAGTCTGTCAAGACTGGCCCGTACGGGCAGGGGTACCTTTACCTTTTACTAGTTGAAATAGTTATTTTGGTTCTACAAAACCAAATTCCAGACCACACTTGGAGGACATGTGGAGCGTTGTAAATGTATTCCAGGCCATGCAACTTTACAGCTGGAATCCCTGAAGCTGAATAAGTCGATTTTCGGACAGAATTACAGAAGCTGAGTGTGACTACATCTGGCTGTTTAAGCACTTCGGGTGATACATTGGATATGAAGTAATAACTCTATAAAACAGTTCAGTATATGAATATAGTGACAACGTTACTGTGAAAAAACACAACGTGACTAGCAACTTGAATTACTGAACACTTTTTCACTGACGTGAAGTTAATTGTATCTGCGGTTATCAATTTGCAGTTTAAAAGTGGTACAATGTAAGGCAGGATCCTAAACTCAAAAACAGCAGAAAAAGGAACATGGAATGTGAAAGAAATAGTTTGAAAACATTGTGAGCTCGCTTAGAAATGGGACAGAAAAGTAGTTAGCAAGTCATTGATGTAATGCGCTGTCTTTGTTTACTCAGATTTGCCTCATGGCTTTGGCCTCTGCTCTTTCTACATGTAATTCTAAAGAGTCAGTGTTTGTCTGATTAAGCAAATGTTTGCTCTGAATCACGATTAAATGAATAGTGCAATGTTTCAGGAAGGATTTCTAATGACCTACTTTAGGCACTCTTCCTGTACCGCATTATTGTCAAATAAAGACCAAGTGTTGCCTTACCTGCTGCTTTGCCTTGGCTTTCTTGCAGATCTTCGCTTTCAGATAAGCTGTTAAAAGAAAGGTGGGGAAAGTGGTTGTTGCCAATCAAGAGGGAGGATTAAATATCCAGAACTCTGATCCACTTATTTACAAAACAGATGTGGCAAGGATCCTTTCTAACAGAAGAGATTCTTTGCGACTGCTTAGGAAGTTTGCCAGTCTGATATAGTTTCTCTATACTTTTCTGCTTGCTAGTTTAACATTATTATTTTTTTATAATCCTAGTTCCTGGATGACCATTAATCCAGGAAGTTTGGCTATTAAGGTAAGGTTACCAGATTTTTTTCAAAGAATCCGGGGACACTTTTTTTTTTTGAAAAGAGAAAAAAAGTTATTATTATTATTTTAAGAAGTAATCTCTTCTGTGGTCTCCTCTGTGACACGGCCTTCCTCTGGGCCCCAGCCTGCTCTCTTGGAGTGCTAGCCGCCATGGAGCAGGCTTGGGTCGGGCCAGGTCTGGGCTCAGCCACATGTCCTTGCCCTCCTGGTGCTCTCCTACCTCTCCTTCTCAGTGGCTCCCCTTTTTTCCTCCTTCCTCTTTCACTCTCTTCCTTCTCCTTCTCCTCTCCTCCTTCTCCCTGCATTAGCTTCGGGGTTTCCCTGACCCCGGAGCACCGCTGGGCAGTTGGCTGGGTGCTCTCACTCCTGGCTCGATTTGGGTCACGGGGGTAGGTAGGTGGGGGGGTGTCAGTGGTTCCCCCAGTTGACATGCCGGGCGTCCCCGGTTCCCCTTCGGCAGTGGCAGCAGCGGCAGTCAGCAGCCCGGAGCCAGCCTGGTAGTGCAGTTGGCTCTGTTTGGCTTCAGGAGCGGCTTGCTGCCATGGTGCCCGCCATTTTGCTTCGCCAGAAGTCCCCATATGATGTGTTTTGTGCCGTTGGACCAATCACACAACGTTCTTTCCCTACTAATAAATCTACAACACTTAAACTATAAATCCGGGGACATTAAATGAAATCCGGGGACATTCTGGGGACAGATTTTGTCCGGGGACAAATTTGTAAATCTGGGGACTGTCCTCAGGAAATGGGGACGTCTGGTAACCATATATTAAGACAACATGCCAATAAAAGTTTCATAAAAAATAAAGGCTGCTGGTTATTAGGGATACAGGTTAATTAGGAAATGTGTGTGCTCTTGGGAAACGACCTCCCTCCTTTCAGAAATCCCTAATTTATTATGAGTAGCATATAAACCCTTTTAGCTCAGAAAGATTCAGGGCAGTCATAATTTCCACCAATGCCCTGCCCTTCCCTTCTTTAGCTGCTAAGGTGGTAGGAGCATTCAAGATCAACGTTGAAGGATGCTTTTAACCCGCTTCCGCTTTCTAAGATGCTCCTGTTTCTATGAACTCTGGTAAGGGTAGTTTTTGAAAAGGTCTTTCTGATTCATTGACCAGGATGAATAAAACATGCCCCCCCCCCCAGCGCAGTGCTGGCTGGCGTCCATGGGGACTGGAAACACAGAAGGCACGGAGATTTGCACTAGGAGGAGATTGCTGAATACAACAAGAGTCACGTGGAGACTAAGGGGGAGGAGATGAAAAGGTAGTACCCACTCCTGGATTGGTTGTTAGAAAGCAGGCAGGTGGCAGCTGTCTGGGAACAGATTTAGGGTGTTGGGGCAGAAACCCATTCATACAACTAGACTACTGCCCTGGTGAACTGTTTCTGAGAGTCTTTCTCTCATGAGGCTGAGACAGGATGCTTCCTCATGTTGTTATCCCACTGACAATCAGCAAAATGGGGGGGGGGCAGATTTCAAGCAATTTGGGTGACGGAAACAAGAATCTGCCGTGAGACTCTTTTTAAGAAAACAGAAAACAAATGTGGATCCTCTCATTATGGACTACTATTGGCCAGTATTTCATGTTCCACCCTTGAGTAAGGTAGTGGAAAAGGTGGTGTTTGGGGGATTATACTGCTTTTTTTGGATCCATTCCTGTCTGATATCTGATGTGGCCTGGGGACACAACTGGCCTTGGCCACATTGGTGGATAACTTTTGTTGAGTAATGCTGAAGGACTTATGCCCCATTCTATGGTCTTTGGTCTGTGGGGTGTTTCAAAATCCCATTTGGTCCCCTGTGTCCATAAACGAAGCTACTGGGAGACGTAATCTGGACGCTTGGGCTAAAGTGTGTGGATGGAAATGAAATGCCTATGTTTGGTAAATATCCATGTTTCTTCATCTACATAGAACGTATCCAGTATCCTTCATTTACACAGAAAAGCCTCCTTTAACTCAATGTATCTGACAGAGGCATTCAGTATAGAGATCAACTGTAGTACCATTATGTTTATAATTTGATCATTTGCTATGAAGCTTATTGTTTAACAGAGACAAGGTATTTCCTTTTTTAAAAAAACAAACCCCCCCTCTCTCTCTCTCTCTCTGTGTGTGTGTGTATGAATGAGATTTTTTTCCCACTCCAACCATCTCATTATTAGAGGTACAATTGGCTCTTCATATTGAAACACTTTATCCATACAATTGCAAGGATTCGTTTTTAAAAACTGATCATGCTATTCAAGACTGCTCATACTTACTAGAAACCAGAGTCCATCCAGTTGCAAAGGTTCTTTTCTTTGTGGTCCACTAAAAATTAGACACAGCAGAATATTACTTATTTCCCCACCCACCCCAGATTTCTTCAAAAGAGCTCACAGCAGCATATATGGTTCTTTCTTCCCCTCCATTTTATTCTCACAACATCTGCAAGGTTGGTTAGGCAAACAGATTGTATCTGGCCCAGGACCAACCACAAAGTTTCATAGTTACTGGGGATGTGAACCTGTGTCTTCTCATGTCTATTTGGCTAGAATGTGACCAAACAACTCAATTTGCCATACTGTGGCTGCTTGATTTCCCCCACCCTGCCAATGAAGCAACACAACTATCTACTGTATAACTGTTATGTATCGTTTGAGCTATGAGTCTGAAGGCTTCATCTGTAGACAATGCATAAGAACATCACTGCACAATGAGAGCATCTACAGGCCCTAAGGAGGTTCCTTCACACTCCAGTCTCATTCCTTCCAGACACTAGGAAAGCATGAGTGTGGGAAAGAATCATGTCATGGAGTCCACCAACGTGACACGGCGTACAAGTCAATACATGTCTACTTAAAGTAAGCCCCATATAGTCCAATGGGACTTACTCCCAGCTAAATATGAATAGGATGGCCACCACGATGCTTCTGATTTTCGTACCACACTAAATTGGCTCCCAAGTGAGGAAGATAAGGGACCTTTAGATACTAAGATCTTAAAACACCTCATAGAACCTCTTACCAAGTTGTGGTGGAGAAAGAGGCTTGTCTACAACAGCTTTTGGAGCTGGAAAATCTTCACCCAGTTGCGTCCATGACATTTGGGTTGATGAATGCAGTCCTCTCTTCTTTTCAGTGTCCATACTGGTTCCATGGTGATGGGATTCTGAGAACATCTCAGTGTAAAAATGAAACAGCTTTAAAAAAAAGATGGAATGAAGATCAGTTTAATATAATGAATGAATGATTGACAATCCTGGATGAAGCTGAAGAAGTTGTGGAGAGGAAGATCTGGTTGAGCATCAGAGCTGTAGGTAAAAGAGCAGAGCTTGCTCTTAAGACACACTGAAGGATACACTGAAAAAAACTGAAAAAAACTGATTTATTTTCTTTTTTAATGTGTCATATAATTATAGAAAAGTTATCAACATAAAACAAACAGGAACCCCCCCTCTCTTTTTCATTTTCTATTCCTTCCTTTCTTTCTTTCTTCCTTCTTTTTTGAAGCACAGGTATTTGTGCCCTCTGGTGTACATACCCTAGCAGTTGGGTCCATTTAATTGTCTAAACAATTGTTTCATTGTTAATTAACTTGGAGCATAGAACCAGTGAGCTTTGCCAGATGTGTAAAATGCTCCTGAAGAATAATCTCGTGTGGTCAGAAACACAGGGAGCTGGCTGAGATAAAAAGCTCTTACACCACTTGGCTGAATGTCGAGGAAAAAGTGCTCACAGTATCCATGGGACATCCACGCCAATTCACTAGGCTGATCTGATGTTTTGTGAATGAAGATTCATGCCGCCTTTGGCTCACACACTCCCTCCAACTCCCTCCTTTCTCAGTTTCAGACTCACCAACATAAAATTCTGGTTTCTAAAGTGGGTGTGCAAGTCAAGCACAAACCACAATTGATTGATTTGAAAGAAGAGGCAAACTATGGGTTTGGAAAACTAGGAAAACTAGGAAGGAATAGAGCAGCCTTTGTCAACCTGTTGTTGAACTACAAGTCCCATCACCCCTAGCTAGCAAGGCCAGAGCTCAGGGATGATGGGAGTTGTAGTCCAACAACATCTGGGGACCCACAGGTTGAGAACCACTGGAATAGAGGATCCTTGAAGGTTCATTAATGTAACCTAAGCAAAGGTTTAATTTTGTGTCTGAATCAGCCTCATGATACATTGGAAATGACAATTGCCTACAGAAGAAGCCCTCAGCCTCAAAACAACTACAAAGTGGGAAGGAAGAATGACAGACCCTACAAGTGTCCTTATTTTCCAGGGATAGTCCCAGATTTACAGAAGTCATCCCAGTTTCTGATTTGATCCTGGAACATCCCGTTTTTCCTTAGGACGTCCCTATTTTCCTCAGAGAGATGTTGGAAGGTATGGAGTTATGCCACCCAAGCCAAGGAGATAAGTATACAACCTTTAGAAGACATCTGAAGGCAGCCTTGTGTGGGGAAGTTTTTTAATGTTTAATTATGTTTTTATACATGTTGGAAGCCACCCAGAGTGACGGGGGCAACTGGTTGCCCTAGTTAGATGGTTGGAGGACAATAATAATAATAATAATAATAATAATAATAATAATAATAATAATAATAATAATTGAATAGGACATCCCTATTTCCATTGGAGAAATGTTGGAGGGTATGGAATGGGGACTTTGGCCTCAACCAGGATGCTCAAGAGATGCAAACGTCTTAAGAAAAAATGTACAGTGTGAATAAAGCAGCTAGTACAAGGAGAGTTCTAGAAAAGTGGAGAATCAGAAAACTAAATGGGACAATGTCATCAACCTGAATAACCAGCTATCTAAAGTGGAATTCACAGGGTCCTTACAATGTTTTCTGACTGCCTGTTTTTTAACTGTAGTGTACTGTCTTAGTGTAACTCAGGGGTAGTCAACCTTTTTATACCTACCGCCCACCAGTGCATCTTTCCTGATGGTCAAATTTCCTTACCGCCCACCAGTGCTCGATGGAAGGAGGATTCAGCTTGTGTTGTAGAACCTCCTACCACCACCCCCAGAACCCTGAAACGCCCACTAGTGGGCGGTAGGGACTAGGTTGACAACCCCTGGTGTAACTGGAAACCTCTGTGGCAATGACGCAACAAAATGTTGACATCGACTGAAATGTTTATAGAGTCCTGGGTAATCACTTGCCTTACAAGCAAAGTTGATCTACACGTCGCCTGCCAAGTTCTTTTTCTGTACATAGAAAGGATTGTGTGAATCAATCCTGTGACAGCTGAACTACATCAATAGAATTACAGTGGTACCTTGGGTTAAGTACTTAATTCATTCTGGAGGTCTGTTATTAACCTGAAACTGGTCTTAACCTGAAGCACCACTTTAGCTAATGGGGCCTCTTGCTCCTGCCGCGCCGCGGCCACACGATTTCTGTTCTCACCCTGAAGCAAAGTTCTTAACCCGAGGTACTATTTCTGGGTTAGCGGAGTCTGTAACCTGAAGCGTATGTAACCTGAAGCGTATGTAACCTGAGGTACCACTGTATCAGCATAGAAAAGTTGACGTAGTGTCAACAAGAGTTATCTTAGCATATCAGAAGCAGTAGTAAAGAAGATTTTAGAACAACTAAAAACATTAAGACATGTGCTAAGAAATGTAAATGTTACAGAGACTGTGCCCTGGATATAATACTAACCGTATAAGAATCTTAAGCATGTTGTGGCATAGGTTGGTCTATTTTTGGAGGCTTATGCATCTGGATAAAAAGAAATTGGCTCTCTTTTCTGAGACAACACTTGTGCATACTAGATTTGATCCAGTGTTAATAGCAAAATCCCTATTGCCAAGATACTATTATACACTTGTTCTCATAGTAGACCATGAACCTTAATTTACGAGAGCAAAATCCCCAATAACAATCAGATGTCGGACATCAGAGAACATTATGCTGCTGAAAAGAAAAGGGCTTTGTGGAAATAATAGACGGTGCTCATGGAAAACAATATAAAAGAAAACCCCAGCATATGCAGTCGTAAGATATAGGGACATAAAGCTATAAAGGCCGTATCATCATATATGAGCCAAAATCATAAAATATATAAATATGAGCAGCTGGAGCTAGAAAAGCAAATCTGGGAATTGGAGAGGGGGGGAAGATTTAACTTAACCAGCAACTTATTGCTCCAAGAGGGTAAAATTGTGAAAGCACTGCCAGAGGCCCCAATTTCAGTCCAGGAGTGTGGAGCAGTTTGCTGTGCTCTTCATTTGATAAAGGCTCTATGGATAGAGCAAAAGAATCTTGGAGATTATTGGCTCATCTTAATACGAGCAGAATATCCTGGAAGCTGATAATGGAACAATCTAAAAGACAAATGGCTCAACCCTGACACTTGACCCTTAAGAAAGTACATACAAACAGCTACACCAGATCAACATTGCCCAGGGTTGTGGGTATATGCGGTATTGCACACCAGTGTTTTACAAAAGCAGTTCCTCTGGATAATGCATTGTGAGTGGGTGCATAGAGTTGGGAAGAGAGAGAAAGGAAATTAAAAGAAACCATGCTTGAGTTCTGTGTCTTAAAAGCTTGAAGATGACCGCTCTGGTGTGCCCACCAAGTTCATTGTCCCCTGTACTGAAAAGAATGGAGAAGATACCTGTAGGTACATTTTTAAAAAGGTAAAGGACCCCTAACAGGTAAGTCCTGTTGCAGACCACTCTGGGGTTGCGGCGCTCATCTCACTTTACAGGCTGAGGGTGCTGGCGTTTGTCCGCAGACGGTTTTTCTGGGTCATGTGGCCAGCATGACTAAGCCACTTCTGGCGCAACGGAACACCAAAACCAGAGCAGCGCATGGTTCGAGGAACCTATTTATGCCCATGCACGTGACCCAGAGCTTCCTCTTTTGGCACGTGCATTCAGAACACCCACCCACCTCTCCCTACTTTTAGGGCTTTGCGCTTGACCTTGCTATGCCGTCGTCTGTCGTTGGGACAGGGGCACAGCAGGAATTCTCCCCACTTGGCTGATTGGCTGTTGCCATTTGGGTTTCACCTGCCGTGTAGCAAATCGTCACAACTTGTAAGGTTGCAGATAGGCTCTGGTTCAGGTGATAGGGATGGGAGAATGCTCTCGCCATCCCTATGTGAAGGGTATTCCATTAAAGGAATCCAGAGACTCAGTGGTTTGGTCAACCCCTGAGAGGGGGTTGTGCCCATGCCTGAGTCCAGGGGGTTTTGGGTGGCAGAGTTAGTCCATTCCTGGCTTTCCGCTTATCCAGGTGTTCACCCTTGGCTGACCTATGCTGGAACCCTGGGTCAGCGCTACCTGTATGGCAGGGAGCTAGTTGAACCAGAGCCTATGCAACCACTCACTTGCTGTAATCAAGAAAGTTGTGGCCTAAATTCTGCCAAAAACCAAAACCAAAAATGTGAGTCGTGTGTGAATTTATTTAAGGGGGGCATTTCTGGGTATGAACACACAAATGCTGGAGCTTGTGGCTTATTCAAGACAATATATAAAAAATATTATGCTGTATAACTGCTGGATATCACTGAAGTGGCTGGTGTTTACAAAGAGTTAAAAGCTCTCTTTTCAAGCCAGACTGGGGGAAATCAAATTCCCATCAGCCCCAGCAAGCATAGCCTATGACAAGGGAAGACGGGAGTTTAAGGTCACAACGTAAGCAGAGCACCATGCCTTATGCCTTAACAAATCTGGTTAATATTTAAGGAGCCACAAAACTCTTTGTCGGTTTTGCTGCAAGAGACTAACAAGCCTACCAGTCAGAAAACTATCAAGCAAGTGTCATCATTTAATCTGTTTTAAAAAAATATTAACATTTATATCTGATAGCACAGTGAGATCTCAGTTATAGCCAGCCAGAGACTCATATTAATATGACTGCAATTCAGAAATTACTGCCTCTGGATTGAGATGACTTCCAGCAGGGTAACGGCTTAGTTTGTTACAGCAACAGATTTATTGTGCCCGGCCTGCATCTGATGAAGTGGGTTCTAGTCTATGAACGCTTAAGCAAGAATAAATCTGGTAATATTTAAGGTGCCACTAGACTATTTGTTGTTTGAACTCAAGGCTACAAGATTGGTGGAACAAAGACTGAACCAAATGTGCATTAGTAAAACCTGTGTATAATTTATATGAAATAAGCTTCATGATTCAACAAACTGCATATGAAACACTACTGGATGAATTATGAAATAT